AGTTTGGAACCACCTGCCGGCCGCCCTATGGGAGACAGAGGAGGCTTTCCACCCCAATAGAGAGTTAGTCTTGGAAACCCACTGAGGCCGCTCTGCCCGTCCTCCCCTCCCCGGGTGCTGAGTCCGCATCAAGGCAGGGGCAGGAAGTTGGGTTGGAGGCCAAGAGGAACCCTGGTGGGACAGCAACTAACGCTCATTATACCGACCAGAGGTCAGTGGTTTGAACCCACCTGCCATGGCCAGAGAAAGAGGGTGGCAGTCTGCTTCTCTGAAGACCCCCGTCTGGGAAAGCCTGCCGAGCAGGTGGGTCATGCCCTCCAGGGCCCACCCCGTGAGTTGGAATCAACTTGAGGCAGTAGGGTGGGAGTCGGCTGGTCCCTGGAGAGAGTTTGCAGGTCTGTTTAACATGCAGGGAGAGGAGAGGGAGCCACAGCTTGTCTGGAGTGAGCCAATGGCAGGAAGCCCAAGCCCCTCCCCCCTCCCTGCCCCCAAGACCCCTGCAGCTGCCTAAAGTGCATGGGCCAGTGGGTGGGTAAAAGCCTCTAAAGCCGACACCCAGAGGGGGTTCCAGCATGGGGGCTCCCGCGTTCACCTGAGGCCTAGAAGCTCTAGCCAGGGAAGTGTTCTACAACTCGGTCTACATCATCTGTCACCACTCTCTCCTCCCCAACATCCCCTGCCCGCCTCCCAGCACAGGAACCCTTCCCAAAGATCAAAGGTCTTGCTGCCCTGCTGACCGAAAATCCTAGACTTGCCTGCCCGCCCTTCCCAGTGGAGAACTCAAGGGTCAGCATATTCTGATGCTGCCTCCCCACCCAGCCCCCTTCCTATCCCTCTGGTTTCCAATTAGAGGCGCTCAGGGTCAGATGTCTTCTGGGATTCGGGCTCAGTAGACCAGCACCTCTTCCCGAGGGGACTCGCTGTGAAGCACACACCTCTGCTTGCCTCTTCCAGCGACACTCGGCTGTGCCACCTTATCTGTCCTTTTGAAAGCGTTGATTTTACCTTCGGCCTTACAACAGTAACAGCAAAAAAGCAAACAGCATACAGACCTCTCTCTGCCCCGCCTTCGACTCCTCTGATGGGGATGGGTCTGGAGGCCCAGCAGCTGTGGAGGCGGGGGCGGGCGCAGGAACTTGTGCGTCAGAGCCAGTCCCTCGCCAGCCCAAGGACAGGGTGGCTCTGAAGGAGCCTGCCTGCAGCCATCCTCCCATGGGGCTGTTGCGCTAGCCGGCAGCCGGAGGACACGGTCCGCCCTGAGTACCTGAGTCACACAGGCCATTCAGGTTTGGGTTGTGAGACAGGCCAGTGAAAGACCATGAGATAATGACAACGCTGGAAAGCAGTGCATGAGCCTTTCTCTTCAGAAGTGTCAGGCCTCCGGGCAGAGTCGGAGTGGGGGTTGCCGGCGTGGGTGGGGATCTTTGAGGCCCCTTCCAGCCCTGGCTGGTGAATTGCTGAGGCTCAACAAGCCAGAAAAACCAGAAGTTGCTCCTGGGGTGGGTGCCAGCCGTAGTCGAACCAGGCTCCAGAGGCGGGTCGTTTGTCCCATGAATGAATCGTAGTGTTGTGGGCACACCCCACGGAGCCCAGGCCGGTTCAGCAGTTTCCCCACTCAGTGGCCATATCCCACCAGCTTGGGAAGCCCCCCATTCCCTGCACAAGCGTGCTCTGACTGCCCCAAAGGGTCCCAACAAGTCTTTGGAGTTGCTCTTGTCCACGGGTCCCACATGGATGGTTCCTAAGGAGCACAGCGCTCTGGCCGACACTCCGTCAGCTGAAGGATCAGGATCGTGTGGCTTTAGGGAGCCGTCGGTTCCTCCAGCCTCCGTGACTTCAGCAAGTCTGGAGTCCATGAGAACTTGAAATCCCGTTCTTCGATTTCCCCTTTTGACCAGGATTCTCCTACCAAATCTTTGACTGCATGTTCAGTCATGGGAGCCGGTCTCATGGCAAAGAAGGCCCCTGGCTTTTTGAATGTAAGCAGGGGAGCTTGCTACTGGACAGCCAAGCCTGCCTGCACCCAACAGAAGACAAGTAACAGGATGTTGCTTCCACCATGTCCCCAACACACACCCCTGTGCCCTTCAAGAATGAGCACCAGGTTTCCAGAGTGAATGCTGGACCCAGAACAAGTGCTACTGCCCGCTAGGGGGCAGTGCCGGGCTGACCCAGGAGGCTGCCACGGCAGATACTGGGTGACAGGCCCAGTGTCAGTGCTAGGGAGGCTGCGTTGGTTCTGTTTCTAAAAAGGAGCGGAAGCCCCGTCTGTGTGGGACCCAGGAGCCCCAGACGATCTTCTTTCAGACGTAGCTCGCTTCGATGCTCCTGTCCGGTTGTGGATTGGTTGGTTTTTGAACAAGGAATACAGTCTGAGGTGGGGGTGTTAGGCAGCCTCTGGCTCCCTCCCTCAAAGTGTGTTTTCCACGGTACGGCTTCTTTTACACTGTGTCCTTCCATCGTCTGGATGCGGGTGTGAGTGACCGTGGGTGCATCGCCCTTCCTCCACCCCTCCCCTGGCCCGCAGGGCAGCAGGCTCAACCCCCAAGCGGTGCCTGAGAGTTTATGCCCTGTGGTCTGGGGGGACGCCCCAGCATAGGCGGGTCATCAGTCAGTCCCTCCTGAGTTGCATCTGGGCGATGTCTCATACTTTCCTCATGCGTCGGGGCTTTGCAGGGACCAAGGCCCCAAGGGTCAGTGGGGGAAAATTCAGGGTGGATCTGGGGGGCCTCCACCCTGAGTCCCCACCCCACCCCTGGCCGTGTGTGTGTGTGTGTGCGCGCGCGCGCGCGCATGCGCGCGCTGGTGGTGTGAAGAGATGGTCTGTATTAAATGCTCCATTTTCTCCCATTTTTTTTTTCTTTCTTTCAGGGACAATTCGAGCTTTCGGAATACAAAAATCACGTTGTGAAAGTATGCAAGCTGGCAATACTCCGTGTGTGTGTGTGTGTGTTGTCCGAAGCAGACAGGCAGTCTGCCGCCCGGCCTGGCGTCTGCACGCTGAAGGGGTAGCCCCGCCCCAGACGGGCTCCTGTTTGCACTTGTTCCTGGAGGTCCCCTTCCACGGCCACCTCCAGCCTCACCGACTTTATAAAGCGGAGAAGCCGAAGCCGTGACTCTGAACAGACAGACTTGGGTCTGTAACGGGGTGCCGAGCAGGAGATCAGCCCCTGCTCCTGCTGTGTGCCGTCCAGGCACCTGGCGTGCTGTGTGCCTCGGGTCGCAGCCAGCTGTCCTGAGAAGGGTCGTGATGATGAACGGCTGCACACCCAGGAAAAGCTGTGTCAGAGAGTCCGGAACACCTGTCAGTGCCCTCTTGTAGCTCTGCCATTAAATTATTGGGACATTTTGTTTCTCTCTCCCCTCTGCCCCAGCCCTGCCACTCTCTGAGACTGTCCCTGGGGCAGTGGCTGTCCTGTCTAGGACCGGACCTCCAGTCTTTCTTCCTGCCTGAGGGACTCTGCTTCCGGAGTCGGCACTGCTGCACTTAGAATTCTGACCCAGTGCACCACACTGGTCTGTCGCATAAAGCTGCCAGCAGACCCCTGGCACGGTCGCCAGTTTGATCTCCATGTCAGCCTACATTCCGGGTGCAGGACTGAGCATAGGACAACAAAGGGACCCAGCTTCCCACAGGAGCAGGGCCTGGGGGCTGGGAGCTTGCATGCTTGGCGCTCCGGAAGGGAAGCCAGCTGGCTAGCCCAGCCAGTCGTGGGCAGTCACCCTTCCTGTGGTAGCCATCCAGCCCCGTGACAGGAACATCAGAGAAAGGGGACCTGGATGGATGCCGGTGTGTGTGGCCAGGCTGGTTGGGATGACTCCCCAGCCTTCATCACCTGTTTATGTAAGCAATGCATGCTGGCCTGTGACAGAAGCTTCTAGAAGGCTTTGGGATCAGCCTGTGACTCCTAGAGAAAGACTGGAGTCAGGCCCGAAGAACAGCGAGAATTCTAAGACGTGTGCTCTGGCTACCTTCCTTGGCTCTTAAGAGCAAAGATCGAAGTACCTTAAATTAAGGCATCACTGCAAAACACAACCTGGGCGGCTGGGGGGGACCCCTAACCCCCGGTCTCAGAGAAGCCCTGTGAGGGCAGTAGGCATGTCTTCCCTCGTCCCCGCCCCAGCTCGCAGACGTCCTCTAGTGGCCACTGTCCTGGAGAGGATTTCCTGAGGGGGCAGGGGGAGACGGGCCAGAGGGGGGTGCATCCCTTGGGTGTCAGCAGAGAGGAAGATGGAGCAGCGACGTGAACACCTGAAATGGAAAGACTGAGTTCCTGTGTCCACATGGGAGAGGGGGCAGCTCAGGCGAACACCCAGGCAACATGGGCTGAAGGGGGAGCGGCTGGGGGAGGGGGGCTCCCTGGATTGGCCAGGAAGTTTCCACAGAGCAAACATCAGGCCTTGCCTGACTCTGGGCATCTGCCTGTGTGAAAGTGTGCACACGCACGCGTGTGTTTTCCTGTTTGCCTGACCGTGCATGTGCTCTCGGCTTCATTTGTTTCCTGTGCGTGTGGGCCTGTGTTTCATGGGGACAATGAGCGTGAGGGTTTTGTCATGCAGAGCGGGTCCTTGTTCTGTTGGGTTTTTGCTTTGTTTCATTGGTTCTTCCCAGACGTTTGAAATCTTGGGTTTTCTGGAGCTCCCTGTTCACCCTTACTCTATCCACAGCAGAAAGGCCCTAACCCTGTGCTGGTGGGAACGGGTCACCTGTGGGCAGCACCTCACTTGTGCCCAGTGTCCCGCAGATACAAGTGGGGATGGGAGATTGAATTCTCAGCTTTTCCAAGCTGCCCGTTCTCCACAGGCGAGCAGAACCCTCCCAGCTTTGTTAGACGCCAAGGGCCGCTGAGGCTGAAACATGACATGCACGGGCTGTGGACTCACCTGGCTTGAAGACACCGGAAAGAGGTCTGCTGGGTCGATCGAGCGGGCAAGCTGGGGTGTGCTGCCTCCACTTCACAGTCGGGACTGTTCCCATGCCCCTTTTGTTGGATTTTCCGTTGGAATTTTGCTTCTTTCTCTACCATTCTGTTTGTGGGTGTTCCCTGTGACACTGACGGTGGTCACGTCCCACCGGGAGCGGCCCTCCAGGCTGGTGGTGGGGAGGGGGCGGAGCAGAGGATGTGATGAGGGGTCGGGCCAGGGTGGCACTTTGAGCAGTTGGATGCTGCGGTAATAAATGGAAACTCCGAAAACCAGTGTGTGGACTCTCTACTGCCAGGGAAGTAGGGGTGACGGAGAGTAGGGTCTGCTAGCTCTGCCCTCAGTGTATGCATCTCTCCTGTGAGTGAGTTCCAGAACAGGATGGGTGCACTCACAGTGCCAGCCTCCCGGAATGCCCCCACTGATGGGTCCTGGTCAGAGCACATGTTAATGAATATGAAGATGCGCTTGTCCACTCATGCCTCTCAACCCCAGAGGTAACAGATAGGAGAGCTGAAGGAAGTTTGGTGAAGTTGATTGAAAGGCCAGTCCTTTTAGACCTAAGCGGGGAATGTTATGCTAAGTAGCTTGGTCTGAAGACAAGACGGCATGGCATATGCTAAGGGCCACTGGCCACGTGAAATACCTGAGTCAACCTTGACTTTTATCAGAAAGCTTTCCTTTTTCCCTAGGAATTCTTAACTGCCCTTTTAGCATGTCCAGCCAAGTAAAGGTTGAAAGCGAGCTTATAAGCTCTTGTAATCATGATTGATTTCCTATATTAGAATACCAGGTGGGAGAAATATTGAGTATCAACAGTTTATTCACATAAACACAACCCTCTTCCTTTTTAATAAAGCCAAAATCTAATCATTCTTCACCCCTGACCTGTGTGTACATATGACACAGGGCCTCTGGCAGGAAGGGCTCAGTAGAGACGAGCCTCATTAATCTCAAATCAGCCAGACTTCCTCCCAGGCCATTCCAGAAGCAGCTTTTCACCTCTCAGCCCCAGCATATCATTCCTTAAACCCATTACAAGTAACAGAAACCAAAATAACCACTTTAGAAATAAAATGTTTTACTTCCCATACCTATTTAGTATTGTCTCTTATAAACCCCATGCCTCTGTGAATGCCACTTCTGGCACCACTTGTGTTGTCCACTAGTACTCTCTATTTAATCCCTACGTTCTAATATCTACTGATACGGCTACCAGAACTCACTGATAAAATTCATGGTTAAAGGGTTTATAAAGGAAGCTAACAGGTTGTGATGCAATTGAGAACTGCTCAGGATATAGTTATTCTTCAGGACAAGTTAACAAAGTTCTTTCAAGGCTACTGATAGGTGCCCAAAGGGCATCCCACTCTGCTGTAAATCACAACCACAACCCAAAGGCATTCAGCTCCCACTCCATGGATCAGCAAGCCCAACTCCCTGGATTAAGTGTCCAGAGGCACCCCATCCCACAAGCCAGCCTCCTGCCCACAAGCCCTCAACTTACTCCATGGCCTGAGAAGTCCACCACTCCATTCCTTGCTCTGGCTCTTGCTCATTGGGCAGGGATCTCAGGGTCCAGAGGACATGCTCTCCAGCTCTTGGTACGGAGATCCCTTCTTCTTAGAGGGCTCATTTTGTATGTAGTCAGATGGAATTCCCACAAAGCCTCTTAACAGAGGTGCATCCTCTCATTGTCTTCCCCCACTTTCACGCCAGGCCCGTGCAGGCCAGGTGGTTGGTTTCAAGTTGGAGGTTTTGCTGAGGAGTCCACAGTAAATAGTGCACTGCACCGCCACTATACACAGCAGGCATACACAAATCCAACAGTTCCTGCATGTACAGTGCATTGCTAGAGGTGACATGCTTTGAGTGGGATGGCCATTCTCGCTTGCCTTTTCCAGATTAGTCCTCATCTATTCACCCTCCTCGAGATGGAAAAAAAGCTCTGGTGGGTGGAGCTTTTGTATTTTTCCCACTAGTGGAGCATCGAGTAACTTGCTCTGAGTTAGTGCATTGAGTGGTGTTGCCTAAGAAGGTTCCCGCTTGTCAGAGTGCATTTTTTCATGTAAAAGCAGTTTTGCTTAAACCTCATTTTTTTGTGATGGCCAATTTAAGAGAACAGGATGTATGTAGCTCTGAAATTTTGTTTCCTGCTCAGGAATAATGCCACAGAAACGGTTGTGATGTCGAACACAGCTTGCAAGGACAGAGCTATGGGAAAAACTCAAGTATGCAAGCAGTTTTCTCATAAAGGTGAAATGTCGATTGGTGACAAATCTCATTCTAGACGTCCGTCAACTTCCTGAACGGATGAAAATGTCGATTTATAGGGCATCTGGAGTTCGTTCCACCAGGTCAGACTGTTAACAAACTTTCTTTTTTCTTTTCTCAAGCTTTCTATTTAGAGGTTCTGAAAAGATTACATAACTGTGTGACAAAAAAGGCCTGGTTTGTGTCAGATGAGGGACTGGTTTTGCCACCACAACGCACCTGCTCACACAGCCATCCCAGGGCGCCAGTTTTGGCAAAAAGCAGCATGCCTCTCTTGCCCCACACACCTTGCTCACCTGACCTACCTCCCTGTGACTTCTTTTTGTTTCCACGAATGAAGAGGGACATGAAAGGACAGCGATTTGACAACGATGCAGAAGAGGTGAAGACAAAAACAAGGGAGGTGCGGTCAGCCATCCAAACATGAGTGTGAAAAACGTTTCCATGAATGGAATCGAAGATTTGAAAAATGCACTAAGTATAGTGGAGAGTACTTTGAAGGTGATAAGGTTGTTTGTTTTTTTTTAATGTAAATACATAACTCTGAAAAATATTCTGGTTGGGGGGGCACCCCCTCGTACACTCAAGGCCTCCTAAGGTTCCGGTCTGCTCCTTTGAGTTGCTCTTGGCCATCTGTGTCCATGTCGATCTTCAAAGGGTCCAGTACTCAAGGCGGACGGTCTTCACTGGTTACGCAGTGAGAGCCCCACCAGGGCGGAGACCTGGGGTCTGTCCCCCACCCCGTCGGCTCCCTCAGATCCATTTTGCTTGCCCCTGCGTCCATGCGCCCTGCCCACTCAGCCAGCCCCCTTGCTGGGCTAATTCTGCGTCAGGTACCCTAGTGCCCTCCCCACCCACCCGTGCACCCGGGCAGAGCCTCTGCCCCTGGGCCAGTCTGCCACAGGGGCGGTTCTCCTTCTTCAAGCCTCGCGGTCACGACGCTTCCCAGCCACCACTGGAAGCCTCCTCACTTCCAGGCCCGCTCCTGGCTGCTGGGCCCCGCCCCGTTCTGTTCTGGCCCCGCCTCTGCCCCGCCCAGACTCGACTAGGCCCCGCCCACAGCCCTGCTCAGGTTCAGGCCCCCACCTCTGCTGGCTCTGCCCCTCCCTGACCAGCTCTGCCCCGCCCCCATTAGGCCCCGCCCCTGCTCCGTT